TGTCGACAACTGAAATTCCATGCATTTCACTTCAGAGAGGAATGAATTAGATTTAAATGCTTTGTTTATCTTTGACTGATTTTAAAATCGAAAGCACATTTTATTCATGTGCAGCATATTTTAACACAATTTGTGCAGCGTTTTCACAGCTTCATAGACACTCACATATTTTGAAACTTGTGAACAAAGTTAAATCTTGTTAAAGAGAAACCCTTTGGGAACTGGTAGTGTAGTAACCAAAAGGAACTGCTGATAAATCCTGAAGCAATGAAGTACATGTATAAGGATAGAGCTTGGGGTGGAGGGGGGGGAGAGAGAGAAACTTGCCCAACTCTGCTAACAAGACTAAGACCCCATTCCCAGAGATAAGATTGATCCAAACTTGATTGACCTAACTCCCTGGGGGTTCACGCTAAATAGCTGTCAGCCGGGCGGACACGAAAGTTAATTACCTCCTTACAGCTTGTAGTAGGCAGGACGGACATTTAAGTTGGATTATCTGAAAGTAATCTAGTGAGACTCCCCGCGGGGATAGATATAACGGAGGCTCATATCGCAGTTGTATTCTTTTTATTCTTCCGTAAATACAAGTCATGATCTCCATTAGTTTAACAGTGAAAACGTTGATGTCTATACCCTTTACTGTAATCCTTGACTTAAGAAATATCTGTTAAATGTGAAGCGCTCTTTTGCATGAAACCACATGGTTTCGGACATCTTATAACAAAAAATAGTACCGGAAGAACAAAAATGACTGCGTTTTAACAATGTAAAAAATATATATATGTTTAACTGCAAAAATGTAAATAATGAAAACCAAACACAATAATAATTTAAAGAAACACAATCACAAAGTGTAAAAGATAAGTAAAGTAAGCTATCTTCGTGCAGAACTTATTTTCCCGCGTAGTAAAATAAACGCAAACAAAAAATGCATACTTCCATCGCAATCTTGTGAGAGCATCTATCGCAATCACTAACATTACTGGCTGCAGTTACAATAGATCGATCTAAAATCTATGGGAATAGAGCCTAAGCTAGGGTGGTGTTTGTTTTGGTTCTCAAGCAAATAAGCTTATTTGTGATAGTTTTAACTTAAATTTCAAAAATTGTATGTTCTAACTGAAATTCAATGGCAATTAACTTAAATTTCAAAATTTGTATGTTCTAACTGAAATTCAATGGCAAAAAGTCAACTTCTGATGTTCAAAGGTTCTGTGTACATGTCCCATTGTTTGGTAGTAGAGAGATCCCAGGCGAGCCAGTCCTCTAGGTCTAAACTTTCCAATGAGTACAACTCTATTGTTTTCACATGTTCCTTGTTAACCGTGTAGTGACCAAATGCTTTCTCACCATGCCTTCATTCAGTATCTGATTAAGACTCCATGGCTAGCAGGTGGTTGCCATATAGATAAATAGCTGCTGGTGTTGGAGGAAGATGGTAATAAAATAACTTTCTTGTGAGAAAATATTTTTAGATGGATTTTGCATTGTGTATTCACATGCAATTGCTGCAACAGGCGTACTTGCTGAATTTGCAATGAAGTAATTGTTTTCGTGAGAAACAGCTTCCAGTTTTTTATGCAACATGTGGGTGTGTTTTAAATTTGGAATTGTGTTTTGAGTCGAGTCCTCGTGAGTTTATATAAGTGAGGTCATTTTGAAGCTCAGTGTTCATTTCTTTTCTTTGCAGAGGAGAAGAAGGACATTGTAAAAACTGAAGAAAAAGGACATTGAAAAAGGATTTATTCATTCTAGGTGAGATTTTTAAGTTGGTCATATATTCTGAACTAATAATAAAATTATTGAGCATTGAATGTTTTTGATATTCAAAGGTTCTCTTAACCATTTATTACTTGGTAAAACAAATATCTATTGAATTTTATTTTAGATTATTACCTAAAACAAAATGCAGTGATAAAATCCAGTTTGAGAAAAGGTTTTCATGCCAAAAACTAACCTAAATGAAGGAGTCTGCAAGATAGTTACAGGCATACAAATTTAATTTAACCCGGACATTTAATCCCGTTTCTAAAAATCAATATTTTTCATCAGCCTCTCTATTTATCTCATTCTTTGATTTGTACTGATGATGTATTCTATGATAATATAAAATTGAGAGCTGACAAGTGCGACTATTTAAGCCTTTGTGTACTACTGGGATCACCACAGTTTTTAGAAACCAGAAAGTGAAAGAAAAATCACCTGTCATGACTAATGAGCAAGTGCTTGGCCCACTTGGCATTTCAGTAATATTTATGATTTGAGGTTGAACAGGCAAAGGCATGCTTGCTCATGTTCAGAGACAAGACACATGCATCTGTACCACCTGATTATCCCTGTAACTATTTGCAAACTACAAGGCTAGTATATTAAACACTAATGGAAAGTCACACGCCTTAAAACCTGATCACTGCAAACAGCTCACAAATATCTAATTTAGAGAGCAATTTGAATTGTAAGCAGTGATTTCAGTATTTTCTGTGAATTAGGGTCTGTGTTCTTGAATAAGGCTGTGTACAGAATAAAAGTTGTCCTAGTACTAGTAGGATTGATCGATCTCAGTGGGGATTTTCGCTGAGGCGCAGTCAATGTAATCAGCTTAATTGTCTGGCACACCCCTTCAAAAAGCAAGGTGAACAACATCATGGACCATTAAGTTTTCTCCAACTTTACCCAAGTACTTTAAATCAGAGTTTGTGGCTCACTTTAAGGGGTGCATGTATTTAAGTTAATTAAGGAATGGATCTGGAAGAGATGCAACAACATGTGGTAGATAGATCTGTCAATATTAGAGCAGTCTGGTGCTGCTTTTTTTCTTGCAGTTGTTCACTCCTGCATAAATTCACCTTTCCACAAACAGAGACACATAGGCCAATAAATGGTTTGATAATTAAATAAAATTGGTGGAAGGATGTATATAAAAAATAAATATTCCGTTTACAAAAGGTATCCATGCTGGTAAAATGTATGTACTAAGTACAGTTATAAAATTGATGGTTCAGTACTGTCAAAAATTAATATAACCAGTTAAGATACTTTCACTTATTCATCTTTTCATTCCTAGTATAAATCAGAGAAGACTGTGTGTTTTCTTTTAATCAGAGATGGGGGAAGGCGGAGAGAAAAAAGTAAAGAATAAAAAAAAAAGAATACTGTCTGTACAGATGTGGTTTCTTCTTCTGTCCCATTTATTTGATTACAAATAATGACATTCTGAAGCAGAAAAACCACAACAGAAGTGATATTTGAGCTTGTCAGACATGGCTTCTTTTCAAATTGTTTTTTTCCTTATTATCCTGTAGAACCAGACTTTAGGGTAATTGAATTTGTTGCACAGTTGTTCATTTACAGTTAAATGCACTTACCTTGCCCTCAATTGGGAAAAAGCCAAAATATCCCGTTTCTCTTGTATCATAGTCTCTCTATCTGATACAGCAAAAGAGGATCCATTTTTATTTCGAGAATTCGCGCTGTCTCACAGCTAAATTTGATCAGTTCTCTTTCTAGTTGGATATTTCTGTATTCTGATACTTTTGTACCCCATTCTATTTTCTAGCGTTTTATTTTCCATTTTTTTATTAGTTGATTTGTTTTATTGGAAATGAACCATTTTATTTGATGAGGGCTTGTAGCTAGCAATTATTACTTGGCTTATGTAGTTATTATTTTGCTTTTGCTTTTACTTGGCAGTTCAGTGGAGCAGTGTCTAGGGTGTATTTGTCTGTGGAATTTGTCTGCTTGTGGTTTGCTATTGCCAAATAAGAGGCATTTTGTTGTGGTAACTTGCATTGTGAGAGGACACATTTTAACACAACATTGCTGAGGGGAATTGTGTCCAAAATTTAGGTTCTCAGCTCAAGTAAGTTTCATGGTATGTTTTATCATGGTGTTGTTCTTGTGACACATTGATGTTTTGCTTGTTGGACCATAGTCATTGTAGGATTCACCAGCCCCCAAAATAGATAAAATAGTCATATCAAGAAATCTTGGTAAAATGCATAAAGCACTCTGGCCTCTGCAAGGGGTAATGAAATCAGGTTTGAAATGGGGAAAATATTGACATAGAATTTCACAATAACTGACAGGATTTTCTGTGGTTAACTTTTTTTCAAAGGGATAGAATTTGTAAATTATATGTCTGTACTTTCTGTGAGATGGGATATTTGTGCAGGTAAATGCAGCACACTGGGTGGTATGCTTTTGTCCACTTAGTCATCAAATAAAGATGAAGACTGGGGCATTGTTATCTGAAAATTAATTATATTTGAAATTTAGTTTGATGGTCATCATAAGGGCTTCAGTTGTTCAGGTTCACAGTCAGTACCAGCTCAGAGATCTAAATGCAATTTCCACAAGTGGTTTATAAGTGCTGTCTTTGACTTTTCACTATCAGAGATTTATGGGTAATGTCAAAGAGACGGTCATGTGACATTTTTTACTCTCAAAAAGACCCCATGTCCCATATTCTGGGTTGAATGAAGCAGAAAAGTATAAATGATTGGAGGTGTTTTTGCCCTAGACATTGTCTTTAAAATAATCTCCCTCACTTTGTATTCTTTTGATGTATGCATGCAATTAGTGATAGTTTTCAGTGAAGACAAGACTGAATTGTCCTTCATTCTTAATAAAAGCATCACAAGAGCTAAGCTCTAGATAGTTGGTGATTTTTTTACCAATGCAAAGGACAAGTCACTTTACCTATGATAATGAAAAAGTTATGTATTTAGTGATCTTTTCCAGACATACATATTTTACTCCAGTCTCTAACAGTATCTGTAAATATACCTTGCATTATAATTGTTATATTTAACTATAAATATAAAAATTAAAGAACAAGATCTAGAGGGTAACGCTGTATTTAACTTAAATATACTTCCTTAAATACTGATATTCTGATTAACTTATGCATTTATATTATTTATTTATATTTATTTTGCATATTGATTTATTTATATTTCAATTGATGTATTTTATTTTTATTTTATTTTTCTACTTAGGAATATAAAGCAGAGGGAGGGAGTTAAAATGGTCCCAATATGGCCGCCAGTACTCTCTAAACTGATCATGCTGGTGCTAGTGTGTGTCCTGTATGTCTGTAGTGCAGTACTGGGACAGAGTCTGGTGGTGGAGGCAGGAAATGATGTTTATCCATTCACAGACTTTCCAACATCAACGACAAAACCACCACCAAAATGTAAGCAGTCTTTTCTTATTACTTTTTATTATGTCTTTTATGTGATTATAACCATCAATATATTTTATGAATACACAACATTTTTTAAATTATATTTAAGCAATCGTATGAATCTGAGCCACACTTGCTCTTTGTGTACATATCAGGGAAACTTAACTCAGTGGTGGAATAATATACAGAGAGAACCTAGATTAAGTTACATATATTTAAGCCATCAAAGGTGAACACATACATGCATTCTTCACTACTAAAGCTACCAAAATCTCATACATTCATTATTTATCAATTTCTTTTTACTTTTACAGTAATAACATGTTGGACGTGCCCCAATAAAAGCAACAATGAAGAGTGCAACAACTGGGCCCCAGACAAATTCTGTTTACAAAGTAAGTGCAGGAATTGTGTAAGAAAATAGTGCAATCTGTTGAAGAGGAGCTGCTTGTCATTAAATTAATGCTTGCACTTCTCTAATTAAAACCTTTTTCAGATAAAGCGGATATCTGTATTTTTCTTTGTGCTCCTTCTAATCAGCCTCTTATTATATCAGTTATAAAATAATGCAATCTACCCCAGCTACGATGAGGTACGTAGGTTATTGGTTTGACCCCAAGTCCTGGTTAAACCAGACACCTTGGAAACAAGTTCTGTTATACAAACTTAGTTTCTTTTCCATCTTTGCGACTTCACAATTTACATTTAACGAGGGGTGAAACCAACGACTTTCATGGCCAGAGTAGAACCCATACACACTATTTTATAACTATACATGTATATACCAAGTGCCTGAAGGTCAAAACAAATCCCAAATACCATAAAAATAATGTCTACATTAATATTTTTGGTTCATTTTCCAGACTTCACAGTATGCAAGACAGTCCACAGAGTTAATACACTAACAGGGAGAAGTATAGCTGTGAATAAAATGTGTGCTAAACCTGCAGAGTGTAATAAAAGTACCATAGGTTGTAGGCCCACAGAAATACCTTATGTACAGGTACACATCCATATGACAAAATAAGCTTTACTATATAATGCCATTGTGAAAGAAGTGCATTTTTTATTTTGAGATTAATGATCAAAATTAACTTGAAGTTATATTTAAGATGTTTCCAGGTAATTGGTTAAATGATATATCTTGTCTTGTAAGAATTAATGAATTGTAATTACATGCTACTTCAGAAGCGAACTAACAATATCTGATACTAATGATAATATTGTGCTGTGCAATGCATCAACTTGAAGATTATAGAGGTGGTTTTCCCATATTTCTTATTTTTTCCTCTTTCAGGACTGTATTTCATGCTGTGACCAGCCTTACTGCAATGAACATGCTCCATCTAACTCATCAACAGCAATACTCTACTCAAGGCTGGGAAATCCAGCATCAAGGACTGTCCTTGATACTAGGTGGTTAATACCTGTTGCTATGACAACCGTTTTACTAATTCCAAGTTGGAGGAGGTAGCATTTGTTTCCATTATGAGATGCTATCATCACTAGCCAAAGGAAAAGTGTAATATGTTTTTGCTCCATATTGACTATGCGGCAAGCAGTACTGGATGCTGACTGTCTTGCATATCTAGTGTTGTCTTGGCAACCTAGCATTGTCATAGCAACCAACGTAAACAACCTCAGGGATTTTGCAATAAACAGGACATGGACCTGTGTACAGTATTGAATGTTGTTCTGGTACCAGATGGATGGCTATCAGTGATCAACAGAGCTGGACTAGCTGGCACTAATGATGTGTGGACTGGATCTCCACAGTTTTCAACTTGTTTGGAATTGTTTGTGTGTAAAGAACCAAATGATTGGTCTGAAACACATTTGGGTTCATATAAGGGGTGGAGTGATCTGATGTATAGATTGTACATGGACAGAAGGATGGACACATATTGTGTTAGGTGTGCCGCCATTGTTACCACTTTAGCACATCCGGCATGCTCAACTACTACAATTCCTTCAAACAGCAAACTGAAACTTTTGACTGGATGTTGTGTTTGTGTACATATTTATTTATATATATATAGCAGGGTTTTTTTTCTCAAGATTAGCCAAACACTGTACATGAAAGGTGCTATCTAAGTTACATGAATGAACCACACAAACACAAAAGGAATGCTTAAGTGAAGAGGAGATTTGGATATTTTAAATCGAGGGCATCCTTGGTGGATTTTCATGATGTGGAAAAAAAAAAAAACAGTCAATTCAAAACGATTGAGTACAACTTGATGACCACAAATATCGCATTTTGACAGGTGGTCAGTAATAGTAGACAGACCATATGGCATTTAAGACACCTGTTCCACTCCTTGTTATATAAAAATCTTTTATACTGAGGCCAAAGCCATACCTGTGAAAGCCTTGGTCCAGATCTGAAATTCATGCCAAATGTTTTATCACTTTCTGCCATTTGCCCACAGAATGGCAAGGATGGTTGTGGTTTCTTGACACCAGTTTGATTGGTGGTAGGGCTACCTTAGGAATGTGACCACAAATATAGTAAACATTTTCTTCATATTATTGACTGACTGTTGAAAAGCCACATGACATACTGATAATGCTCAGAGATTACTAATGCTGACCTACAACAGACAAGATCTTGGGGAACTTTAAGCTGATACAAGAGTTTGGACTATTTAACTCCAGGAAGCTTGGAGCACAGGGCAGCTAGTTTAAGAAGCCCATCTTGGTATCCATTAGAATAATAATTTGTTTTGTAATGCAATATTATGATGGGAGGTAATTTTGATTTCTGGTTGAGTAAGGGAGGCTCTGATTAGATAGCTCAGTCTTGCTGATGGCAGGCTGTCATGGCTGTGGATGTACCCAGATTGCTCTAGGTGTGATGCTGCACAGTGAGTTGTCACAACAAACACAATGACAACAGAACTTAATGTGTAATATTGCTATGCTGTGGACAGAAAACACTTATCATTTAACAATTTCTGTGAACATTTGCCCTACAGGTCATTTTTTTGATTGTTTTCTGTGGTTTTCTGTTGTTGTTTATGAGACTGTAAAAAGGTAATCCAAGCATTGTGAAAACTAGAAATTTGTAACTTGTCTCAATAATTGTATTTTTTTTTGTACTATTGTTTTTTTTTTTTTGTACTATTGTTTGAAGGCAATGTATGTATGTCGGATTTCAAGTGACCATCTACCTTTCTAACATATGGTGCTAATCGTGTAATTTTTGTATTTATATATATGTCTATCAGGACTCCCTATAGACATTTTTGTATCAAAATTAGTGTAGTTTACACTGGTCATTGTTAACTTGATAGACACAGCATGCAACATGATGATAATTAAAACACTTAAAACCTAACGGTTGGTTGATTTAACTTGAGATATATGTATGGCTTGTTTCAGATACAGATGTCATAATTGATGAGATGAACAATTTTGACTTTTTGACATAATGAGATTTTGATTTGAACTTGATTAGTAGGACAATCAACATCAAAAAGGGTCAAAATTTCCAGCCAGCAATCTAGTAACTTTCACTAAATTAATGGTTTACTTGTTAAATGATTATACAACAGATCTTCTGACTATTCTGATGTTACAATTCACACAAACGAAGACAATAATATTTGACTTTGTATGTTGGTTTACCAAATACATGCTTCATAATAGAGAGGAGGAACTAGGTGTCTTATGCTCCTTGCCATAATAATGTCTTTTATCGAAAAAGATGTTTCATGGTTCTTCCTGTAAATATTCATCAGTCTCAGTAGCTTCTTCATTTTTGTTTTAATCATCAAACCATTCATCTTCATTTTTCCATAGTTGTCATACATGTACTACTTTTACTTTTAATGTCAGTGTATGCAAACAGTCAGTTCATTATGATAGTAAAAATAATACAAGGATCAGCAGAAAAAATGGGCATTTTATTACAAACGTCGTATTGTGTATCAGTGATCACTGCAAATGTTTTAGATTCGTTGCCGGCTACTACACAAAAGGGTGTATTTTGTTAAATTTTATATTTGAACAGTGATAAAACGAACTGTTTTAAGACTTTCTGTAATTGGTATGATACAAGTCACACTGACAATACCGCTGGCTATACATATCAATGATCATATTACAGATTTGTTACTGCTATTACTGACACTGATATAACATATCTGATAAAAATGTAAGTAAAAAATATTAAAAATTAAGAGTCGTTTTTGTTTCTTAATCTTGTTTGGAATATGCAATTTTACTTTGTGATATTAACAGTCAAATTCCACTGCAAAACATGTCTGCATGGTAATTGTGTTAAAATCAAAGTTATAATGGATCATAATGAAACCCAAGACCCTGAATCCAGGACAGAATTTAACTTGATGTAACGTTCTCTTGTCGCACAGGTCTCATTTAATAATAATGCGTTTTAAAAAGGCATGAATCATCCAGCAAAATACCTTTCGCCCAAAGGCGACCGTTACGCTCCCGTTTGTGAATATCGCCTTTTGACTCTCTGCGCCGGAAATCCCTGAAGCCACGCGTACCTTGGTATGACGCAGTGCACGTGTCGGTGGATCTCGCTTGCAACAACTTAAAATGAAAATGTAAACAAGCCCCCCCCCCCAGATCCTCCATCACACACACAACACTTCTAGTAACGTGGTTCTATTTCAACTGAAAACGATTTTCCGCAAGAAAATTCTCAAGATTTTGGGTTAAGCTGTAGAGTTCTAAACTTGGATTACCGACCACATAAAGGTAGACAAGTTGATATTGTCCATGGAGTTTACGATAAAACGTACTTGACAGATCTCAATGGGTTGTTGTCATCGGTGAGAGTAAAATGAGTTATCAAGACAAACAAAATATACAGCGGGTTATCCAAAAGACCAAAATATTGGGAAACTGCGACCCTCTACCAGGGCCACCCGCCAATTTTCACTTAGTATTCACAGATACATGTACAGGTGTATATCTCTGCCTATTTCTTCACACTGTTGTGAAATCCAAGAGAGTTGTCTGCTGCTTACATACTGCTACTGGGACACTGGCACAAGTCTCTCTTGCAGCGATCTAGACAATTCATTATTCTGGCCTTGAATGCTAACTGTGGGTTATCATCTGAGCAAAGTTTTGAGAAAGCCCTCCCAACCACGCGAATTTTTTTTTAGCTAGGCAGAAAAGCGAAGACAGATTGGGTAATGAGCGTTTAGCCCCTAGGCGCTAGGTACAGTAATTGCTAGTTGAGCGAAAGCAAAAGGATTTACTCGCGCGCAGTAATATTTGGTTCCGTCTGGTCCAGCAAGAATATTTGTATAAAATTCCCGCCATCACTCAGCTGGTATCTGGAAGAGAAGAAGCGGCCAATATTATTATTATTATTATTCATTTTACCTGTTTAATAGGCCCTACGAATAAGTAAAATAAAATTCTCAGCAGCCTAACCTTTCCTCAGACGGATTCACAATAATGTCATCGGAGGGGTTAGACAGAGGGAAACGTTCTCATTCTTCTCCCCATTTCTGTGACTTTGCATGGGCCTGGGTTTTATTGCCGTTGTTTGAAAGTAAATTTTGCTGTATCGGGGTCGTCAATGGGCAGTCTTTCTTGTCCCGTTCCTGTGCCGCTCCCTCAGTAACTCAGGATATGAGCGCCTGGCTGGTCTCTATACATGCGTTCAAACCAAGTTTAACTTAGAACCGGAAACGTTGGGATAGGTTCTGTTTTTTGGCTGGTATTTGCGTCATTTCCGCACGCTTACGTAATGCATATCTGACTTTTTGCGCTGTGTGAAGGGCCAACCACATTGGCAAACCTGTTTTTTTTATTTAGAGACAAAATGTACATTCCCACATAATGTCATTTGCGATAATTGTCTTGCCATAATTTTCTAGTGACGAAAATTAAACTATTTGCGATTCAAGTACGGCCCGCTATGAACAAGCTTTGTCACGAGACCGATGTTTTATACCTCCAATAAAAAACGACTCATAGTGTCTAAGTTGCAAAGGTGATGGCAGTAGATGTTGCAAAAGTCAGAGATCATACCATTCTCAGTCTCCTCGTGTCTTTACTACTGGCCAAGTTGTACACGCAATGGCGCCTTACCGTACAGGGGTTCGGCCGGGGGCGCGATCGCTAAAGGGCTCTGTTCGCCGCTGGCAGTACATACTGGGAGCATTCCGTGACGTAGCCGATCGGAAGCCACGCTTTGTTTTAGATGATTTAGAAAGGCTTGGAGGTGTTCACTAGGACGAAACGTATTCACTGTTCACTGAGAATACTCTCTAGATTTATATAGGTGCTGGGGATTCGTAACGTACTGATCTCAGCTGCACAGCGGCACAATGAAGTTTCCGCGAAGTTTCAGTTCTTTGTTGGCAATATGCTTCTTGTCCTTGGCAAACGGGAAACCAAGTGGTGATCGTAAGTTAATGTTTATGATATATATTATTTTATTCATAGTAAGCCTATGTAGTGGGCGATATAAGCGTAAGATAATTTTTTCGAGTTTCACCGTACTTATGTTTTATGTTTGGTTGTCCATGGTTTCACTTGATTTTCTATAGATAGCACGAGAAATGTTTATGAAGATTGGGTCTACATGATCTTTGTTGTGTTTAAGTGTTCGTATTTTCGATATGATGGTCATGCATATGCTAGATGCCACTTTGGATTGTGAATAAGATGCGCGTTTTGAAAATGCATGGAACGCATGCAACTCTTAACTCAACTGCAGCCGTGTGTTAGTGGTCCTGAAGACGTAAAGTCATCGGCGTGTATTTAGAGAGTGCCTGTGAACTACCAGATTTGTCAAAACTGGTTCGACGTTTCGCTTTCTATTTTTTATGCCAAAATTTTGCATTTTGTTCTCTTTGAAAATCCGCTTTAAAAAAGATTTGATAATTTAAAGGCTTACTCGACAAGGCTTCGACACTTTTCTTTCGAAGGAAACCTTAAGGAGTCTTGTTGATGTCGTTCAGCTATTTTCTTTCTTTTTAGTCCCAAATTTCAATAATTTTAGCGCGCATGTATACGCGTGCGAGGGCGCGTGTGTCCTGAGATCTGTAAATGAAGGGCGAGAGAGAGAGAGAAAGAGAGAGAGAGAGAGAGAAAGAGAGAGAGAGAGAGAGAGAGAAGGAGGGAGGATTGGTTACACATTGAGTTTTTCCTACATATGAAGGATATTTCCTCAATACGTATCATGCATTAGAGCAATAAAGACAAAGAAAATGTAAATGGAAAGAAAATGCCGGGGCTACAAAGACATTCAAGAAATAACATAGATTTAATCACTGAATTACGGAGTTCACAAAGCCTATGTGTTCCTGTTTTGATAGTTGCTTAAGCAGAACGTCCCAGTAAACCGCCTTGGGCGTTTGGGCATTAAACTGCGGAAGTGTCGTCTGCCAACATTCTGCTTCAGGTCAATTCAACAAGGCAAACACATAGTACAGCATATTAGACAAAAGTTTACGAGTTTTTCTTATTGTAGAACCTACTTTATTTCAATTGTTGTTTAATATGTCTTACATTTTTACAATAATATTACATTTCCATCGAACCCATTCCCTTGTAGGTAACAAATACCCACAATAAGTTTAAAGAAGAAAAACCTGAAAAGGCTTTCATCATTATTATTATTATTATTATTATTATTATTATTATTATTATTATTATTCCAGCCTGCTATAGCGCCCGTTTGGTCGGTGACGATGAAAATAGATGTATCTTCTACGTATGCGTCCACTCCAAGCCATACAAGCTGCCATGTCCAGAGGGGGTGGGGGTACCTGCCGGTTATAAGGGCAGCAATAGTCCATGCGTGGACACCTCAGTCTACTGCGACGGCCGAGGAGAAGAGAGCGAGTTGAGACGGCGTTACCATGCCAATGGTCCCGTAAAACGTAAGCCTAAAAAGGGTGAGGACTCAATGCCCGTGGAACCGGATGGCGGGAGAGGCGACGGCGGCGAACCCATTCCTGTTTTGCCACACGATCCGGTTACTGCTAAACCGGATGTCAATCCGCCAGCAGATGCAGACCTGCCTTTTCCAATTCCACAGTTTACTTTAGAAAATCCAGGTGCACCGTCCCCAATTATACCAGACAAACCCCCGATGAGGTATGCAAATCAAGATTCTTCTTCGGATCCTGTCCCAGATCTAGAAAATCAGGATGTGTATCCACCACCCACCCCACACAAACCTATGCCACCTGTTGTCATTGATCCTCCAGATCCCCCTAAACCCCCTAAACCTTATGTACCGCTGCCCGATGTACCTCCAGCGGCAGTTGATCCCCCCAAACCCCCTAAACCTTATGTACCGCTTCCCGATGTACCTCCAGCGGCAGTTGATCCCCCCAAACCCCCTAAACCTTATGTACCGCTTCCCGATGTACCTCCAGCGGCAGTTGATCCCCCCAAACCCCCTAAACCTTATGTACCGCTTCCCGATGTCCCGGCAGAGCCAGAGTCAAAGGAAACGTTACCCATAAAACCATTAACAAAACTTTTAACAAGCCCGCTATACCCTAACCCACAGCAATATCCCACACCCCAGACGGATCACCCGAAACCAACGGAACCAGCCCAAACCAAACCAGAGGTGTCGTATCCTCCCAAACCGGAACAACCATCCACCAAAACACCCGCAAAGCCAAGCCCAATGAAGCCCGTGCCTAGTGCTCCTTACCCTCCTATTGATCCGCAACCAGCAAAACCTCATCCACCAAACTCGTATAAACCCCCCACTGTTCCAACTACGACGACCACGCCGCTGCCGACTACAACGAAGCCCTACAAGCCGTCGACCACGGCATCCAACGACCCTGCGCCCACCCTGTATGCGCCTACGGAAGAGCCGGATCACGCCGAAGCACCTGGCAATGGCGGCGATGATGACCAAGACGATAGTGGTGAGTTCTTGGCTATTAAAACATTGTCGGATGTGGCTATGTTTCTGCTTTAAGCGCGTTTGGGGAGGGTAATGATGCATAAAAATGATTTTTGTGTTCGGCGTCTTGTTCTTCTTCATAAACATGGCAGTTAGGTGGCTGGTTTGAAAATTTCAAGAAATATAATATGAGTAAAGTGGATGGATAGAATAATATAAACAGTAACAACAACATTATCAACAACGACAACAACAATAACTATAATGGTGTTTATGATAAAAATTGATTTGTCATATTCTGTACTTTATACTGTATGGCAACTGAGTAATGCAAAATACACGTAACACTGTACATGTAGGTATAGCCACTTAATGAACTTTGTAGCATAAAGAGCCTTAAAATGTGTGAACAAAACTAAAAATCATTAATGATCAATAAACCATTATATTAAATCTGCTTTCAATGAAATGAAATTCCATTCTACATCACAATCTTTTTTAGAAACCATACGCATCAAAGTGTACAACAACACCAAAATCCAAGGGAAGGGTGAGGAGCTGGAGGACTTTTACACCGAAACCACGTGCGTTGACGCGTGCTACTTCCGAGTCGACCCATATCGATGTGACGCGGCGACGCTCCACGTGACCGACAAGTCGTCTGGGACTGGGAAGTGCACCCTTTACTTCGGGGATGCCGCTTGCGCTGACATGGTGCCCTACTCTCCAGGGTGGTTTGTCTACTACTTCATCGATTGTTCGGGTATGTTGGTGGATAAACGAACACGACGCATTTTATATGTTTAAGAAAATAAAATTCTTAGGAAATTGCAACGTTTTTCCTTTACCCACGAAAATATACCACGTCAAAAATGTTGACTAATTTCAATTTTCAAACCCGTTTTTTTTTAATTCTAAGATCCAAATGTGTTAATAACTCTCATAATGGGATCGAGAAAAGGAGAATTTCACCAAACAGTCATTCCGCTCCTTTACTCGAAGGATTTATTTGCTTTTTATTCTCTTTTTTTTTTTCAGAAAATGGAGATGGGTCTAGGAGACGATAGTGCAACGATCATTGATAGCGGAGTGTGGGAGGCGTCCTTAGTTCCTAGCGCATCTGTTGTTTTACAAGCTATAACGTGAATAGTTATACTCGAAGTGAATCGAAAGGCATTGATGTATTTCATATACATGTTTATGTTCAATCGGCAATACAAAGGGTGACATTGAATTTATTTTGAGTTGTGATTGCTTTTGGATCTAGTAGAATTCCTGTGTCCTCGATTTTACTGGCCTTATTTATCTAGTTCTGTTCCTTGGAATAAATCTTATACTCAGTATGTTGTTGTGGCAGTTCTTTTTAATGTATTTACATTTATTATGTCTGAATATTACATACAATGTACTAGTCAATATATTACAATGAGATACGCATCCACGTCACATGAAAATCTCTCTCTCTCTCATACAGGGCTATCTTACCGTCATACGCGACTAAATGCATAATCACTGTGTGTAGCAAGATAAAGCACGGCTGGATCTTTAATAATAATAATAATAATAATAATAATAATAATAATAATAATAATCATGAATGTTTCTTTAAATCATAAGCAAACAAAAGGTTGCAGTTGTAGAAACATGATAGTGCTAATGCAAATTAAAGGAAACTATTTACATTAAGATCAAATTAAGTTCACAATAAGCATTGGCCTCTAAAAGCAAGTTAAAGAAAACGAAATAAAAGTGTTGCAGGATAATTTAATTGTTGGCACATTGAAGCTGGATGGAGCGTTGTATCTTAAATTTCTGTTAGATTTGGTGGTAAAAAAAATATTCAGCCTTTCATTGTTATTATTTATTGTGTGAAAAATATTGCATCACAGATGGATCTTTTGTTCTGGACACCTACCGCGGTATACATGTATACATGTATTTGACTAGATCGCGTAACCGCCAATCTGGCGTTTATGACTGGGTTCCCATACTTAAGGGTTTCTCGCTAAATTGCTTAAGTGAATCGAAACAAGATGGCCGCTTGTATGAGACAGGCTTATGAAGCTCTCTGAAGAAGATTCATTTAATCACCGGTGTTTATGTATAAATCTTGGAAAGAGCATCAATAACAGAAATCTAAAGTGACCAAGAAAGAATAGAAAACAGAAAGAAAACAGTTATGAGTGGGGAAAAGTGGAATTAGCAAGCTCAGTCAAGGAAATCTGCTTAAAGAAACAAAATGGAGGATTACTACTCAGTGCTTGGAGTAAGCAAAGGATGTAAGACTGAAGAGATAAAGGATGCTTTCATCACAAAGGTTAGTGAGTTGAATGAAACAAACTCTAAGAACATATTACAGACAATCAGTGAAGCTTACTATACTCTAGTTAACCCAGATGACAGAAAGAAATATGACTTAGAACTGGGAATAGCAAGTAAACATGACTATGATTACAGTGAGCAATATTATGGTCCCAACATTGTAGCTGTCATACACAATGCTCAGTGTGCCACAGTGGGAGTCAGCACCGTGAGTGTAGTGAAAAGAATGTTAGAGACTTCAAGACTGCACCACAAACCTTCAGTAGATTGCGAAGTAAATTCTGGAACTGGACACCAGCTTAAGTTTCACTACTTCTCACCAAAAGGGATTGACCTTGGAAGCATCTCCCTAACTTTTTATCACACAGCAAAGTCAAAGAAAGTTCATGTACAGGGAGCAGCATATGTGGTGTGGTTAGCTCTTGACTACCCAAAAATTGTCCTACTATCATCAGCACCAAAGCCTGTCCAACCCGGCATGGATGAAACCAGGGTAAAACACAGTGAAGAAAATAACAACACAGAGACCAAGGGAGACCTTACAGGAGATTGGGATCAAACCACGCCAAAGAGAGTAGCAAAACCAAAAAGAGTCTCACAAGCTACACCAAAGGGTTTTAAAACCAAGACCGGCCCAAATTTGAAGGAGAAGAAAATAGAAAAAGACATGAGCAAAGTACAGGAAACATTACAAACAGTTGAAAATCAGTACACTCAAATTCTTTTACAAACATCAGACCTCAAGAGGCAGGAAACCAAATCTAGTAACAATGACATAAAGGAAATCAAGGAGCAATTATCCCAATTAACTTCTCAGATGCTTAAGCTGACAGAAGCAGTGGACAATCTACATACCCAGCTGTCCTCTCTAAACAACAAGGGCATTGAAATGGGAATTCAGTGTGATTCTCTAACAGCCACAGATAATAGTACTCAATGCGAGATAAACATCACTGATAGCTCAACACAGTGTGCAAAACCTTCCTACAGATCAGTGTCAGCCAGCACCAACACAGTTACTGTAAGAACAATGGCTGTTAACACCTTTACCCCACCGCCTCAAACCAGCACAGGTAGTGCGAACAAAGCAATAATGGAAACAAAGGCTACTAACACCACACTACCACAAACGGATGTCAGGAGTAGAAACAATGAGACAGGTGACAATGCTGCAGATCAAATTAGTGAAACTGAAGGCACAGTAACACCAACACATAGAGGTGAAAATGACAGCGAGCAAATTACCATTGTGAACAACTGCAACCATCTGGAAGCAACATCCCATGAGCAGAAGAATACAAGTGCAATAGAGCCTGGAGTAAGTGAGGATAACCCCACCACAGAGATACCTACGACAACAGGTACGGGTACTCAGAGGCACACTAGACTACAGGTAAAGGAACCGTGTGAAAATCTGGTAATCTCAGATTCAATCGGAAAAGGTCTTGTAAGCCAAAAACTTTTCCCACGCACCCACAGTAAATGTATTGCTCTGAATGGCAAAGTAATAAAGGATGCGCAACAGGTGGTAGAAGAGAGAGACTTTGGCCAACCAAAATCAATCACGTTTATCATGGGCTCCAACAACGTAAACAGCCACGAACAGCCGAAGGATATTCTGTGCCATATGCAAGAACTGGTCCTCACCACACGAAGGAAATACAAGGACACCAAAATCATAATCTCAAGTATACTCCCCAGGTGGGACAACTGGGACTTTAACAAAAAGGCGGTGGTAACAAACAATTGTATTAGTAAATACTGTAACACCCTGGACAATGTGTGCTACATGTGGAATGACAACATAGTCTGCACAAGAAATATGTTCCATAGAGATGGAATACACCTAAACCAAAAAGGAAATTCAGCACTGGCGTGTAACATTAAGGCTGTAACTGGGCATCCATACTATGCCAGTGCAAACACCCGAAATGATACGCAAACTGTCCAACACCTAAAATGGGATCATGGGAGGCACCCAAGCATGCGCCCACAAGGGAATCAAAGGACCCGCCCAAACAACGCACCACCAGTAAACCTGCGTAGAGACTGTCGTGCACAGGATGCTCCAGCATACAGAAGCCAGGAAAAAGACATCCAAAATGAACTAAGAACTCTGTACGATTCCTTGAACAAACTGATAAGCAAACTGGAATAGAGCAAGGGGTTTAGTTATGAAAAATGTATTGCAACTTGAAGCAGTTTGTAAGTACAGATATTATTTACTTGGTACATTGATTTAAGTAAAAATGCACTTAAACTTTGAAGATCAAATTAAAACAAGTATACTATCTCAAATAGCATTTTTAAGGATACATATTTGCAGGTATGTGTGTGTATGTATATATGGGTATATATGCGTATATGCGCTTATATATATATGTATATTATCTGCCTTATGATTCTATAGAATTCTTCAAAGGAAGTTTACTCAGGAAAGAATTTATTGTCAATTAAGAAAGGAAAACATCCTATACAGGATAAAGAATAGTGTTAACATGTATCTTCGTATTCAACTAATTTACGAAGCACTTACTCAGTAGTTATTTGTACATTTAAATGAAATACTTTTACATGAACACCTGGTGATTAAACGAATCTAAGTAGGAGTACACAAATAGTCAAAACAGTAAAATGCTACGTATAGGTATGAGAAATGTAAGAGGACTGTCAAACAAGTTATATGATCATAACTTTATTCAAACAGTGCAAAACTTCGATATATTTGTATGCATTGAAACTTTTAGTACAACGAGATCAAAAGTAACCCTGCCCACAAGCACTCACAGCCACTTCTTAAGATTAAGAAAGAAAAGAAAAGTGAAGGGTAGACCCTCCNGAGAAAAGGCAACCACTCGTACATAGTAACGCCGGATTTTATTTATCAATACTGGGATGCTAATCATCCAATGATTAAAAAGAAATTAATTTGGTTGGAAAAACCAGAAATAAGAAAACTTTTACGTTTAGGTACTCGTCGTTCACAGCCATTTGTTCCTGATACAGTGTACAATCCAAAACGTAATATATTTTCTTTGACTACTTGATCAGAAATAGGGATGCGTAGATGCAGGCCCGTAGCCAGGGGAGGTTCGGGGGGTTCGAAAGAACCGCCCCTTTTGCTGGGAAAAGGTCCACTCTGGGTAAAATATGATCTAGGTACATGTAGTTTTTATGGGAAAAGGTCTACTTTTCCAGAAATAGAACCCCCCTTTTGAAATTGCTGGCTACGGGCCTGAGATGAGTTTCAGAAGATGATACTTGGCAATAATGACGAATATAATAATTAGCTTTGCATGAAGTTAAATTGGATGACATCATGTATTCATAAAAACATATCTATGTTATTAGGGAAAGATGTCGAATTGAATAAAATCATAAAAGCAATGTTATAGTTTTTATTTTCTATGAATGAAAATCAAATATACCTCTCAAATATTCCAAAGAAATATTAAGTCTTAGCGCTAGTGACATTTTATCTTCATTCTGGGGAGAACAATACCATTTTCGGTTTGGGATTTTCTCCAGCACCGAGACATTTACCAAAATGGTCTACAGTCAATATAAAGCTGGATAAAAGCTATATAAATATGACATCACTGAAGGATATTGTGACCCTTTATTATCATCCAGATACCAAAAATGAGTTTTTTCTTGCATCTAATTATTCAATAATGCATCTATCTTTGTGCTGATTAAAAAAAACTTGAAAATGAGAAATATCGACATTCATTTTTTTTCTTTGCATTAAAAGGGCATAGGGAACTCAAGGCTTTTAATCGCCAATAGAACAACTTTCTATTTTTGAGGTGATATAGCAATCGGTATGGGGTGTAAATTCATCCCTGAACAAGATTTTATCACGGAAATTGGCGCTGTTGACCAGGAGTGTATAGGCTACAATCCCGTGCCATTATTTTGGTTTAAATGATTTTGCTATGGGATGATGAGCCCCTAATTACAGATTTTCATTTAACAGAAGCGTCATTTTGCTTTATCAATGATAAAAACTG